AACAAGGAGTTGACAAATAACAAAATGGTAGAAGTATTTAACAAGAAGGATAAATGATCAATGTAGCTATAAAATCAATAGCAAAAGGGAAATCAACAGGGCCGGGGATGTAGCTCAGTGGCGCTGAACCTGCCTGGCAAGTGCCAAGATCTTGAGTTCAATTCCCAGTACGAGGGGGGATCAACATAAATATGGGATACTGACAAAAACAGAAACTTTACACTCCTCCCTCATTTAAAAAGTTGGCAGAAAATACAGGGAAAGATATTGGTTTTACTAGTAATAAAAGAATTACAAGTAAAAAGAAGTTACAATATTGACAAAAATTAAAATCAGTAGTTAGGATTATCAAGGGAAAATAATTTGGATCAAAACTGCAGTGTGTATTGGAGTATAAACTGTGCCTGTCTTTTAGCCCAGCAGTCTCACTCTTAGGAACTTATGTGAAGACTAAATTAATCAAGTGTATAAAGAATTACGCACCGCTGGGTTATCTGCAGCCCTTCTATAATACTGAAAATGGGTACAAAGCCTTGAGTAAAAGTTGAGGCCAAGAGAATAACATTCTAGGGCAATTCATTTCCGACCACGGGGAGGGAACGTAAGCACTTACCCCACATGAAGAGCAGAAGCCCGGGACACACAGGGTGAAGGGATGCCCATCCCCTGGTCCTCAGGAAAGTGTGAGGCATACTGTCCACTCCACACAAAGCACACTGTGGCTGGTGCACGTGCAGAGGTCTCTCTTACAGGCAGGGCACTAATATCTTCCTGAGAATTCCATCCACAAAACTGAATTTTCCCCCAACACCTCACCTCCTAATATCATGACACTAGAGGTTGGGATTTCATTCATTTTCATTTCCTAACATACGTATACTTCATCCAGGCAAGAAATACACTTTGTCCTCCGTGAATGCTCTCTACCGTGGTTTCTAATGAGTAACTGGTGGGTGGCATAAACAGTCCGATTATCACCTCAAAGGACATCTCTCTCTGGATACAGCTCTTCTGAGGCAAGAGAGCTTGCATTCTCAGCCTGCAAAATCTCTTAGAGAAGAGACAAAGTATTTAAGTTCCATGAAAGTAGATTTTATGCACAGAACAAAAACCAGGGAGAAGGGGAATTTCCATTCTGAGCTGAATTTAAATTTGGTTCTGAGCCTTTGTATCAGGGAGGCTATCCAGATGTTAAAAAATAAAAGGGTCACGAGATCACTATCCTCTCAATGAGATGTACTTCTTTAATGCTACAGAGACCTGAATGCCCATGTCATTAGTTCAGAAGGGTGTGTGGGTATGTTTCTCCTTCAGATTTCACAAGGACTCATGCTCATTGGAGAAAAACTGGAATATTATGAAACATATTTTCTAAAAATGGAACTTATCCTTAATCCACAATCATGTGATAAACCCTAATATTTTAATATTTCCTTCAGTCTGTTTAAAAAACCAAAATCACTCTATCTACAATTTTATATACATATTTCACTAAATTTATTTTAATAAGTCTTTATGAGCATTAATAGCTACATATTCTTAAGTCACATGGATTATATTAGTCAGGCTATATCAAGGTATGATACAGTAACATGAACCCTGAACTCAGCTCACTCCTTAAGCACACAACCTGCCCATCTCAGGCAGCATTTAGGCATCCATGCCATCAGCACCTCTACCATCCAGAGTGTCACTGGTTGATGGGCCAAGGGGAGGAGTCATGGACAGTACGCTAGTTCTTAAAGCTACTGCTTAGCAATGCTACACAGCACTTCCACTCATATTCCTTTGGTCAGATCAAGTCACACAGCCACAACTGTATGGGATAAAAAAGCCCAAGACTGCCTCATGCTAAAGACAGGTGAGCTAGACTGTTACTGAGCAGGCCTCATGGCTACCACGTGGGCATGCCACAGTTAACCCAACATTCCTTGAATGTTGGACTCTTTCTAGTTTTTTGTACATGTGGTGATCATCAGGTCTAAAGCTTTATTTCTATTTATTTCTTTACAATAAATCCCCCAAAGTTACATTATTAGCTTACCTAAGCTCTACAGGTTCCTGACCACTCCTGCCAACTTATTTATCCTCCTATGAATAAAAACAAATATATCTATCTTGAGAGTAGCAACACTGGCACTAATGTGCTGTCCTTTTATAAAACATTTACTAACTTGGTAAGTGTGTGTGTCATCTCACGGTTATTTCCACTTGCATATTTGAGTGGTAGGAAAATCAATCACTTATATTTTCCTCTTTTGGGACTGACCTTTTTATGTTCTATGTCCACTGTCCTATGAGACAATGTTGAAACTTTTAAAAATATTTTTAAATTCTTTTACTGTCATTGTTTTACTTGTATGAAGTCTTTAAGCAGCAACAATATCAACCATTTGTCATAAATGTTGTAACAGACTGGCTTGCCTATGAATTTTAAGCCATTTTAAGGCTCAGTTTTTCCACACAAGTGTTTAGTTCATCTGAAATGCATTTCATGATGGTAATTAGCATAACTGGAAGAACTCTAGTCCAAATGTCAGGCAATATATACCAACACTGCTTGTGACCTCTTTGGTAACCAACTTAATTCTTATTGTATTCCTTCTCTATCATACAACTCCAAAGTTTGGAAAACTAAGGCAAAGCTGCTTAGCCTCAGCACAAAATTAAATGTATATCCTAACCTCTGTCATTACGCAGAGGATCAGGAACAAATAAAGACAGAGAAATCCTGTACTTTCCTTTTACAAACTATGGAAAACAACTCTTATTTTCTGTGCCCTCCTTCCTGAATCCCTGTTTCTGCAGTATGGAGGATCCTGAGCTTGTTTCTTCCCATGCCCAAGCGCTCCGAGCAAGAGCAATTCTCCACTGGCCTCTCCTGATGATGTCAACTTAGGGGCTGGAGCTCAAGGTGCTCTGCCAAGGTTTCCCCAAGTCTACCACTCACAGCTTCAAGATAAATCTCTGGCCTTTAGTCTATCAACCCTGCTGACATGAGTGACCCAAGGAAGCACTAGTCTCTAGTAGTACTCTACATCCCATTTCCTGACCTCTTTCCCCCGCTCTGCCTTCTACTAAGTGTTCTGAAATTCAGTCATCAGCAAAATCTCCTGTAGCTTCACCTGCCTTTTTTGACTATTCCCTTTACCCAGAAAACCAATTCCCCAGCCAGCCCTTCTCCAGCAGGGTGCCCTGGGGCTCTCTTCTCAAAGCAGTCTTTCACTTTTTGCACTTTTGTTCTAACAGAAACTTGGATCTCTACTGAGAATTCTATTTCCCACACAACCCAGAAACCCCACCTCTGAATACATGAGGTTTTTGAGGGACATTTTCAATCTAAATCATAACATTCTATCCCTACCTTCCAAAAGACTCAAGTCCATCTCTTTATGCAAAATACATTTAGTCCATCTCTAAGAGTCATCAAAGTTTTAACAGTTCCAGCACTGCTGAAAAGTCCATGACCGAAGTCTCCTGTGAGACTCAAGGCAAGCTCTTAGCTGTGAGCCCCTGTAAAAATCAAATAGAAAGTTAAATACTGTTGACATACAATGGCATAGAGTAAACATTCTTATTCCAACAGGGAGGAACAGAATGATACAAAGGAAAAGGACAAAAACAAGACTGAAACACAGCAAGGCAAATATTAAATCCTATAGTGCTATGTCCATTACCCAGGAGAAGTTTGGGTGAGAAGTGTACTCCAAGGGCTTGGCAATTCTGCCCCTATGGCACTACTCTTATGGCTTCTTTCTTGAGATTCCTTTCCTCACTGCCTTTGCAGCTTTCTTTAGCAGACATTCTGCATTCCAGGCTTCTCCAATTTCCTGGGGTCTGTACTGCACTTTTGGCTTCATTCTCACGACTTTAAATATTTTCCTCTCAGGGGCACATTGCCTGGCCTCCTAGGCCTTCTGAAATCTTGACAGAAGCCTTGACCCCACTGAAAAACCAGCACCACATGGATGATGGCAGGGTCTGTTGGAAGCTTAAGCAATAGCCAGGGCCCCTTGAATCATAGCTGCAGAGGCCCGAGTGTCTGGATGGATGGCTAAGAACTGTGAATGGAATCCCAGCAAACCAATTCCCTAGCCAGCCCTTCTCCAGTAGGGTGGCCTAGGGCTCTCTTCTCAAAGGTGTCTTTCATTTTTGCACCCTTGAGCCTGAGAACAGTGGTGTTTTGTCATTCCTGAAATGCCCTGAAGGCTTCTTTCTTATTGTCCTGATGCAAACAAAGTACTTGTCTTCTTTTTAATGCTAATAGTTTTTAGTGACCATGTTCTCTTGTGCTCCAACTTTATAGGCCCCAACATTATAGTTGCTTCCTTTCTGGCTACTAGCAAAATTTTTCAAATTATTCAGCTCTCCTTTTTGGTCCTGATTCACAGTAGATATGGCTAAAAGCCATCAGCATTGCCCATCCCACAGCCTGAATGTTTGGTTGCCTTGAAATTCCCTCTGCCAGATCAGTGAGTCCACCACCTTTAGTCTTCTGCAAAGTCCCAGGATATGAACAAAATGGAGACAAATTTTCTGCTGGAGCATAACACATGTGGTTTCGAATCTAACTGTCAATGGAGTCCTTGTTTCCAACTGAAATCTCATGAGTCTGTTCTTTACCATTTACCTTTTTATCAACATTCTGGTCTTCTGAGATGCAACGAGAATGTCCCATCAAGTTCAGCTTACAGAATACTGGGACTTCTGCTGACACCTCCAAAACTTTCCAAACTCCTCCTGAAAATCAGTTTCAAAGGCTTCTAAATCCCATGGTCAGGTAACAGTTACAATACAATACCCAATTAAAAGGCCCCACACTGCCAAGCAGTGGAGAGGATGTGGAGTGAATGGTGCATCCAGGCATTGTTGGTTGGGATATAACTCACTATAAACATTTCAAAACACTGTTTGCCAATTAGTGTTTGTTTACACTAAACAAAGGTATACTCCATTCCATTTAACAGAAATGAATGCTTACATCTGTCAAAAGACATATATAAGATTTACAGAACTTTATTCATAATAATCCAAAGCTGTAAATACTTCAAGTGACTCCAAATACTGGAATAAACAGAATGTGGCATAGTAGAAATGGAATGCTACAAAGCAATGGAAAAGAACAGATCACTGAAACATGCCATTAGATGGATGGATCTCACAGACGTAATGTCGGATGAAAGAAGCCAGACACAAAAGATATACATGTGCTGTAGAACACCACTTACACAAAGTTCAGAACAGGCAAAACCACTGGTGCCTTATGGGGAAAGTATATTGACTGAGATGCAGAAACATGGGCCTCTGAGGTATAGGAAACACTGTGAATCCTGATCTGGGTGGTGACTGCACAGGTAAATGAATTCATAAAGATTCATGGGGGTGTGTATTAGGATTGGTATTCTTTAAACTGTGTCTCAATAAAAGGGTAAAAAAAAACTTATATAAATGTTTATTGGGCATCTACCATGATAAGTAACTGCAAGGTGCTGGAAAAATAATGAACAATTAAGAAACAGGCCTTACTGCTGTGTGAATTTCACCCCAGGTAGGAAGACAGCTGATCTGAAGGGAAGGGCCAAGGTTGTGGATGGGGTAACAGAGGGCCTGGTCAGTCTGGAGAGGTGACATAAGAAGCAGAAGTCAAGTGAGCAGGAATGAGAGAACTCTCTAGGCAGAGGGAACAAGTGCCAAGAAGCAGGTGCCAAGGAAGCAGAATGTGTCCAGCTAGATGAACATGGAATGGCCAGACCACACAGGAACTCATGAGTAGGCAGAAAGCTTTGGCCTTAACTTACAAGCAATGGAACCATGCTTAAGGAGGGCTGTCATGTTCATATCTATACTCAGCAAAGGCTGTACTGACAGTGCTCTATGTGGACCTGCTCACATGGAGACAGCTATCTATCAGTGCCCACTTTAGAGTCAGCCTATTTCAGAGAGAAGGTAGGGAGAGTAAAAAAGGAAGGAAATTACTGAGAATTGTGGTTAGAATGGATGTAATTCTATCTTTAAATCAGTGTGTGACAGTGACCCATCCTTTCCCTGATGGGAACGGAGGGCAGGAGGGACAGAATAGAAGGCCAACTTGACGTTGTAAAGCCCTTCACACTTATTTTTAATCATGTATATATATTACTCAAAATGTAATGAAGATTTAAAATGAACACTTAACTGGAACTTCCTGCTAGTCTAAGTTGCCTGTACTTCGAGGCCCTGTTAGTGCTGAGGCATGGATGTGAATGGGCATCACGGGCGCCCCTCTGGGTGCCCAGCACTACAGGAATCAGTGAGTCCCAGCGACCTGCTCACATTCCTTGTGGATGAGAATGTGACTTACCTCAGGGAATCATGAAAGAAAAAGCTTCCTGAAATATAAACAACCTAAATCTAAAAGACACATGTGTATTATTAAAAGTACAAGAGTGTATCTGGTAAAGCAAAACATCTAGTATTCTGGGCTTTTAGTTCATTATATCCAGCCCATGTCAAATTGCACCCCCCTCCCCACCTAGTGCAATGCTGCTCAAGAAAACCAAGACAAAAATGAAAGTTGTAATTTGGCTCAAAGGACTACATTATAAAAACAACTCAGCAGTCATACAATTTCCTCATGTTGGAAACTGGTGAAATCTAGAGTTGCAGCTGTCCCACACACTGAAACCATATAAATTTTTACAAAATGAGTCAATCGTGAGATTAAAGTTTCAATTTATAACACTTCTGTGTTTTAGTTACAAAGTCATAAATAAATCCAGCATGACAGAGAAGGTAAATATTTTCTCAGTTGTTTATGTAGCCAAAGAGGAAAGGAATTTAACATGTAATTAACCACTTAGGTGTTTCTAGATAGGCACCAGATGGCCTCTGTACTTCACATAAAGAAAAATAAAAATAAATATTGTTTTCTTTAATATAACATTTGCTTAGTGACATCAAATACTCCAAGGTAACTCAACACCAGCAGTACCTGTACCTCACGGAAGAGATTTTCCACTAGGAGAGCAGGGGCACAAGAATAGGAGGAAATGAACCTTACACCCAGAAAAAGAAAAATTAAAGAGGAGGTATAAGCACTTTTACAAACAATTTAAGTTGAATATGCTCTAGAGAGAAACAACAGTGAACTCTTAACTACCCAGGGGCTCTTGTCCCATTGTTCAGTAGACAATGTATTTTTGTACATGTTAAACAAACAGAGAGAGAGAGAGAGAGAGAGAGAGAGATCTTTATGCCCTTCTTTAAACTGACATCTGACAAAGTGTGGTAAGAGCAGAGGTCAGCAGAGGACCTCAGATATTCATAAAAAGATCCCCCTTTGTGGTCACAGCTTCTCTTACCAGTCTTACTTTGAAAATAATTAACTGGAAAAAATCTCATTTAACAGATAATTATTCTTTACCTTCATGTTTCTTCAATTACTCACAAATCAAAGCTTAAAAAATCATTAGTATTGATGCCACATGAAGTCAACAAGCAGTGATGCAACCTCATATTCATGAGTGAAATAAAACTGTGGACTGGAGAATGGCGACGTGCTCCGTGAGTGGAAAGCACCGGCCTGGCATGGGTGAGTCCCTAGGTCGGATCTCCAGCACTGCCTAAATGAGTAAATTCCCGTATCACCTATGAAAGAAAGCTTTATGCATTTAGAATTAAAAACACAAAAACAATTTTTATATGCTTGAATGCTCCAATGTCAGCCATCTTTTATATATACATATGTGTGTGTGTGTGTGTGTGTGTACACTCACACATATACATCCATGTATATTCCTATATTTTTTTTAAACAAAGAAGCTCTTAAAAATAGACTGCCAAAAGAAAAAAAATTGATTACCAAGTGAACAGGCAAAAAACAACCCAATGACAATAAATCAAAGCCTTAACACCCAGATTGTATATAACAATGCCATTTTCTTGGTGCTTTTTTTCCTTTTTGAGACTATTAAAAAAACAAAAAACAAAAACCTCCCACGGTAAAGCAGACAACAGTGCTCTCAGAATCTCTGTGCACTCTCCCACTGCCAATTTCACTCCCCACCCAGCCTTCCCCAAAGCAGAGGGCTGTGCGAATGTTAGCTGGAATGTGCTCACGACATAAACAATCCTTTTACTGTTGGTTGCACTCCATCTCCCAGCTGGTAAATTAGCGGTTACTTTCCTTGACACATACAATCGTGGCTACTGCGATGTCAGTTTAGGAATTCCTCCAAAAATCAAGGAATTTCAAGCCCTCAAATTGCATATAAGTTATATGGTGAGAGTTCATTCATTAGTCTGTTATTTGGAAACTGGGAACATATAATCAAAACAAATATTCTATAAACAATGTTTTAAGCCACCATACAACCAATGTAACCTTAAAATAACAGAATAGAGTAGAACATTATACTGTTGTGATTATAGTAGTAAAACAGAAAAGAATATGCTCTAAATGTTCGGTTTTTGCTGGTACTTGAAAAAAAGCTGTTTTAGTGAGATCACTCCAACCACCCACCCTTAAATAGCCCCCTGGTGCCGTTGCCTAGATTTCCTGTCTCACCCCACACCTTCTTCCTGATCCATGCTGCCATTACCTAGCATCTTGTACTCACTCCAAGTAGGAATGCCCAAATCTCAGGGCTCCCACCTTGACCTGTGCCCTGGATGTCAGACCTACTCATCCAGCAGCTGGCTATGCTACAGTCATGTCAAGTTCAAGTCATCATCTCTGCACCCATAAAATGGCTCCCTATCCCTATCTCCAAGCTTCATGGACTGCCATCCCCAGCCCCACAGGTGGCCCCTTAGAACACTGGATGCTATTCCCTATTCCTTCACTTTACCACCACTTCCCAACCTACCAAGCACCAAACACCAAGGTCCATCTGACAGCTGACTTGAGTCTCTAAACCACTCTTCTCTGCTAACCCAGCCTGTCTTTCCTTTTGCTTAGCTCTCAGTGTCCAGCAGGCGCTACACCCAGGGAATGCTGAGCCTCCCTGTAACATGCTGATGCAGTATGGTCAAGCGTAGGTGACCATGCTGATAAGAGTGAAGAACGCAGGCGCTAATGAGAGGTACCTCTTTTTCTTATGAAGCTTTCAGCCCAGACATTAAAAACTGGGCTCCAAATATATCCACGGTGCCTGCTTCTCATGCACCAGGATGGGCCAGTCTTCGCAGCTTTCAATCCATCTGCTCAAAACTCAGACTACTTTGACTGCCACAACAGATATTTTCCTTAACAATGAAATATCTGACAGGGCAGTCAGATAGTATGATAAACTGGTCAGCACATATATGTCTAAAAATGACCCACTTCTAATACAAGATCTGTAAGGGAAAGAGTTTGGTCTGCTTTATTCAGTGCTATATCCCATCACTTGGACTAGGTACAGTATATGAAGGCACTTAGTAAAAATACAACATATAAATGTACTTTATAAATACAGCAATCGTTATCAATAATAGAGACAATATAACTGAATTAATGTGCAAATATATAGGAAAAGCATGTTTGCTGTTTAATGCGTCTGACTATATTTAACACAATTTGTTCCAATAACATGGTATGCTACAGATAATTAGGCCTAATGTGGAATATATATGTATGTCTATATAATGGAAATAAGCCTTACTAGAAATGAGTCTTCCATGACAGTAACCTAACTGAATGATACACCTTGAGCATGCTGCAGCATACTTGCTTATTTCCACAATAAGCCAGGGCCCACACCTGATAGGCCTGACCCCCATCTGCCTACCCCCAGTGCCCCGGGTTCCTGCAATGGCTGGTTCCCAGCTGCCTGAGCCTGGGAACCATGCCTGCTCTGTGCGGACACAGTACACCGCCCCACCTGCTGGGTCACAGCGTCCACTGCTGTAGCCACGTACACAGCCATTCTCACTCCCCCAGTCTCACGTCCCCCTCCCCCCTCATGCCACCTGAGCCTGTCCCACTAACAGCCCCCAACTCCATCCATAAAAGACCTAGCTCAATGAGCTGGACCCAAACTCTCCTTTAGAGTTACACCAGGTGGTCCTGCCCAGAACCCTAAATTTGGTGCTGTGTTCTTTTATAGGGTCATCACTATTTACCTAACAATATCTATTCAAAAACAGGTCCAGGTAACCAACTAATTGTGTAGGTTATGTGAACCCCCTCTCTCTATCTCAGGTAAACTGGAATAACAGATGTGCCACTTTTAAGCAGTGTTAACACTGTCACTGTGACATACCAGTTTGTTGCTGGATACAGAAATGAAACCTAAATGTGGAGTGGATACTATTCATGAGATAGTCTTCTTTTCACATTCTTTCTTGGTGTTTGTTCTAACAAGAATAATGTCCAAATATTAACACATTCCTCGGCAACTGTTTTCCTGAGAAAACTCTTATTTTAGCCTTAAGCAACTTTTAAACCATCCACATGAGCATTAAGTTATGAATTGAGAAGACAATCTGCCTAGACATAGTAATGTTTTTAAAGATGAACAGTGCTCAGGACTTTCTTATTCTGTATATATTACTGTTTTCAATATGAGGTCAGGAAAGGACAAAGGCTGTCTCACTGATAGTAAGATTTATTCAAAGAAAACTACTTTGAGAAGAACTAGGCAGGAAACTACTTTACAACCAAAACTCACAAGTTAATAAATCAATTCAAAATGCTGAACTACAAATGACCATTAACAGATCATCAGAAAGTGTGGTTTCTAAAACTGACAGAACCAGTTGTTCATGCTCTGTACTTGAAAAATACATTAGGACACAGTCAGAGGGTTATAAGCTGAAGCATTTCTTCCCAGACATGAGTGTCTCTGCACTGCTCAAAGAAGTTGAGTGAAAATGCAAAACACATAGCCTTTTATAAAAGGAAGACATACAAAAATAAAAATATAACCTCTTCCACTGAGTTAAAAACAGAAGAGATATGCAATCACTTGGAAAAAATTCTGAGAAGAGATGGTTATTGATATAAAAAACAAAACACTGTACTCTAAACGGAGGAGAATTAGTAACAACAGAAGACCAGTTTGTCAGTCTGTGTCGTAAAATTGCTCTCTCTATTCACAACTGAGCAGGAACTTCTGGAATTCTGGTATCAAACTACTAAATGATGGAAAAGCAAGAAAAGTAAAAATTAAACTGGTCTGTATTTTATACAGAGTGACTTAGCACTCACATAATAAATATTAATTCCTGACACAATGAGGCTACTCACTTGCAGAGTAAGCATTCATGATTTAATATGGAGTAAGGATAGAAGTGCATCATTATTAGTTAGAGTAATATAAAGTTATAATATTATAAATACAGTTTTCCAAAACATCCCCTAGATTGGCCTAGTGCCTAGAAACACTGTGGTGACAACGTCTGGGGACAGAACATCAGAGACACACAATGTCCATGAGCAACTGCAGATCCTGCAAGGTTCTGTAGGAGGGAAGCTAGGTTGGCACTGTTTAAACCAGTCTTTCTCAAGATAACCAATGGGAGGGACACTTTATTCCCAAGATGAGTCACTAATGCAGTTCAGAAGTGCTAATAAGACACATCATATATCATCATTAAACTCCCTTTTCTGCTTAAGTCAAGATACACTTAACCCAGAGTCCCGAGTTAACTCTAGAGGCAGCTACACTTCTAACTGCACCAGCAAATCCTCTCGCTATCAGCTCTAGCTTCCCTCTATGACTCCTGGACTAATGAAAAAAAGTCCAAGGTTGGTACTGAATTCTAATACTGTACAATCACTTACTAAATAATGAACTTAGGTGATACTGTATGTATGAGCCTTAACATGAGCCCCAAATATGCGAATGTCACCAACTTGTAGTGTCAGTGTGAGTTGAGTTGGAGATCTTTTCCCAGAGCAATTAAGTAGAGCCTGGTACACGGGATTCAATAAATGGTAAGCACTACTCCTGCTCTCTACCCTGACAGGGTGCTAAATGAGATGATGTAAAGCATCTGTTATGAACCCTGGTAAAATATGAGTTGCTAAATAAATTAGGGATTGATAATCATGTTCATCTTATATCATTATTTTTCTCCATATAAAAATAACTAAAAAGAAGGATATTAATGAACTCCAATGGCCATTTTAATACTCACTTTCCCAGGAAGCTAGAAAGAAAGTGACAGAGGGAGGAAAATATGGACAAACTGATGACCAGAGCCAGACAATTCCCAGCATCTTCTCCTTATGAAACTTCAACAGAAATGTAGATTTTGATCCCACCAAAGTGAAACCTATAGAAACACTAGCAGAGCCATTCTACAGCACACAGCAGGATCAAAAGGTTGAACTCACGGTATTGGGAACATAGGGGAGGCCATAAAATTTCTCCTGTGTTTCTTTGAGAATGTCTGTGGTTGACTTCCTCAGGGGATGCTTCCCATGGTAGATTTGATCCAGAGTGGCATAAAAAACCTAGACAGATGAAAACATCTATTCAGCTTTGGTAGTCTAATCTCATATTTAAGATGTGGTCAACCAAAGTTATCATAAGTAGACCAAAAAATAATTACAAGTTATAGCTGAAATCATTCACAAATATAAATGCATGTGATTTGAGATGTATTCTCTACCACATTTAAGACCATGTCAATGATTAAAAGGAATGCTCTCAACCTTTTCATGATTAAGGATATTAAAGAATTTTGAACCATAACCATGAGGTACTCTTTATGTATAATGTTGCAAGTTAAATTTGTGATCTTAGCCAGGGATTTAGCTCAGCAGCACAATGCCTGCCTGGAAAGCATGAGGTCCTGAGTTTGATCCCCAGTACCAAAATAAATAAATAAAGTTAAAAATAAATTTGTGACCTCAAAATTGGAATTCTGTCAATATATGTGTAGTCAGATATACAAAGAAACAGAGATATAACTTGAAACTTCCTGGACCTAACAAATCCTGCTTGGTTTCTTCCTGGAATCCTCGTAGATCTTAAATAAGAGAACTGAAATAGTCAGAATGCTAGTTTTGTAACCAGAGGTGAAAGAACATTAATTGGGTTCACAGTGGAGAAAGGAACAAAAATCTAGTATCTGCTGAGGACAGATGTTACAAAGAATCCTGACACAGCTGTTGGAGAATAAAGAGTGACACCAAGATCCCACATCATGCCCCACACCTGGTATCGGGAAGTACAAAGAAAGCAGCTGCCACACAGGGACAGTTTTGGTTCAAGCAGAGGTCCGAGAGAGAAGGAACTCTCACTCTGAAGAGAAGATGTAGACCATTGAAACATAACAGATAATAAAGCATCAAAGACAGTTTGAACAAGAAATGTGATGCTTGCAAAATAATGAAAACTAAATTTTGCTTAGAAAAATCTAAAGTAAAGTGCTTTTTTCACTGCAACATTCAATCTGAATATTAACAAGGTTTGGAATTTACCAGATAGAAGAAAGCCAAATATGCTTTATTTAAAGGAAAAATTCTGACATGCAATTATGCCTCTGTTATGTATCTTTCAGATTCAAAAATGGAATTTGTGGGGAATGTGCAGCTGTTGACTAGAAAGAAGTGAGGATTAGTCTGGATAAAAGAAAAAATTTAAATAACCTCTAGTTCTGGCTTCATCTAGATATAGAATTATGGTTCTAAATCAAAAAGTTGGGTTTATACCTTGCCTAGAAAATTATAGACATTTTCTAAATATAAATACTGCTTTCCTCTAACAGATAATGTACACATATATAGCTAAATACAGCTCTTTCAATACTGTATTCTATAATGAGTAACAATGCATAAAGATATTCAGAGAAGCCAGAATTACTCATCCCATGTCTTACCTATATTCTAACAAAGTAAATTATTAGGAATTGAAACTCTTCAGCTCTAACCTGAACTGAGGTGGGGTTTTTTTTGTTTTGTTTTGTTTGCCCCAATCCAAAAATAAGCCAGAATTCAAGAATTTCACTTCAATTATGCCTTTAAAGTAATATAAACATGGAATAACTTTTTGCATTATAAAAACAAAGCAAAGTAAATGTACATTTATTTCATGTTTATTTGCTGATAAACCAAACACCTCTTTTATTATCCATCAGCCCTATCTGGCCCCCTAACTGGATGTATATTACTGGTTCCAAGAACCTCAGAGCCACAGAAGAATATGAAGCCTACTTCTAAAACAATGTACAATAAAAAAAATTTCTCACAATTTTAAAAACACTATACCCCCTTAGAAAGCTGCAATAATACGCTTCCTTTCCATCCTCGTTTGCCTCTACTGTACAAGTATGACATGAGAGCTGGACACAGCACTCACAGACAGAGCTCCTGGTAGGAATCTCTCTCTGTCTTTGTGTTTCCTCTTAGTCCTTCTCTCTCTCAGGGCTATTCTTTTCAAGGATGGGAGGAAGGAAAAGTTGTTTTCCCATGTTAAAAGAAAATCATTGGGAAGACTGTTCAAAAATGACTTCTAAACGGCAACCCTTTACTACAGATACCAGAAAATCAAAAGACCTTTGCCAAGTAAACTAATTTTTTAAAACATTTCAGAAATCTAAATTACTGAATTAAGAAAATCCAGCACCTCAAGCACACTCTATTACTTGTGCAAGTGCTTTACCACTCAGCTAAAATCCAGGCCTGAAATACTAAGTTTTAAGGTACAACAGAATAGAATTCATTCATCACTTTCTAGGGACTGAATTTTCAAAACTATAAAGCTATTAAATAGGTAACTGGATCATCATAAAGTGAATATTGCCTAAGATGAAAGATGTGTTTATGTTATGTTGACATAACTCAAGATCTGATGAAGAGTAAGAATCACACAAACAGTCTCAGCATTGGTAAGTAACTAAACGTCTGGTATCATGCAGACCTGGTATCCAGATGGTTTGCAGCATTTTTCTCATCTGAGAGAAGACATTTTTCTCGTACTGGAAACCTTGGAGACTGGTTTTCAGCATTATCTACGACTAACAGTAATAATGTCTAAACTCCACATCTAAAACCACGAAATCTTTTCTTTCCAAGAAAAAAACATTTTATTTTTTATTAGTCGTGTTTCCAGTACCTGCTTACACCCCTTGTGAAGAGTCGCTACACGTACATAAGGCACCCGAATTCCCATTTCCAGCCCCTTTCCCTCCCCTCCCCCATCTCTTAATCCCCTTTCCATTTGAGAAAGACCCCTCTACCTAGTACCTAATATCTAGCTCTTATTTTGCTCTTTATTTATAATTTGAGTTTCTCATAAAAGGGAAACCATGTGATATTCAAGCCTGAGTGTCTGATTTATTTCACTTAATATTAGGGACTCAAGGTGTATCCATTTTACTACAAATGACTCAAGTTGATAGTATTCCATTGTATGTAAATATAACATTTTCTTTATCCATTCATCTGTTGATGGACATGCCACAAGTTAGCTACTGTGAATTGTGCTGCTATCAATGGGTAATATGATATCTTTAATTCTTTTGGGAAGATACTTAGATGTGGAATAGTTGGATCAAATGGAATTTACAGTCTTTGTTTTTTTTGAGGACTCTCCATACTGATTTCCATACTGAATGTACTAGTTTACATTCCCATAAACAATGTAGAGGGGTTTGTTTTTCTCTGCAGTCTCCCTAGCATTTGTTATTATTTGATTTCTCGATGATGGCCATTCTTTCTGGGGTAAAATGGGATCTCAGTGCTGTTTTAATTTGTCTTTCTCTAATGGTTTTGAGTCCTAATTTAGTTGCTTAAATATCTGATCCAGAAGTCAGCACTCCTTGTAGGCTTTGATCTTCCTGACTGAAAATGGGAAATTACCCTACTTCATATGTATTTCATAAGGACAGTGTGAGGGTTGAATGAATCAAATTTGGTCAGGTTCTTTGAACTCAGGTGAAAGATGTTTTAAGTGCATAATTATCATAATAAATGTGCAGCCCCTGCAAGAATGTAAAGTTACACGTTTACGTGGGATAATGACTCTGGAAAATGTCAGAACAAAGCTCCATACACACCTGGAGTTGCATGTCTGCAGCAGCACAAGCCTTCTTCGATTCACAGAGACGAGACACCATGGCTTTCGGCAGCGGCTGGATGGATAAAGCAAAAGGAGGTATGTATGTGAGTGAACAGCTTCATAAGTCACTGCTCGTGTACACCGAAGAGTCCAAAAATTCAAAAATAGCATCAAGTGCAGAAATAAAAAACAGAGTTTCTTTAGAATTTAAAAAGTAACTTTAAAATATTTTAGAGACAATAGACATTTCACTTAATTTCAAAAACGGGTAACTGTCAAATAAGGGTTTGCACATGAAAAAACAGGATTATAGAGAATGACAATATTGGCACCAATCTTTAAACTCTATTTAAAACCCCAAAGAGGATACTTTTTCTGTTCCTTTGTCACCAAAGACTGTCTGTTCAAGTGCTCTCTTGACTTTTAAGTACACACAATAACTGACAATAGGACTAAAAGATTAAAATGTCAAGAAATTAACGATAATCCATGGTGCCAGCTGGTATTAAAGCTAAACTGATGTTTTGACAAACAGGCTTGATAATGAATTGCAGATTCTTATTTCTTCAACGTGAAAGAATTACAGAGCTTTTACACAGTACAGGGTCCCTGTATGATTTAAGGCTTTCTCTGTGAGACTAATTGGCCCTAATCCCATAAAATACACATCCTCTTGGAAATAGCCTAACAATATAGTGGAAAATTTACTTAATTTTAAAAATCATCAATATTGATGTCTAGTGAAGAAAGCTACCACTTTAAACAACTCTATTTACAATTTAAGCTAAATGCCCCTCTAAAGGGAAGCACATTATATAAGAGACCAACAGCAGGTGACTCAGTAATCTATCACCAGCCCAGGAAGGAAGAAGGGGCTCACGTACCAAAAGAAGGACTGATCACTGTCATCTACATCCCCAGGGTCTAGAACTGTGCATGGCACACAGCAGCTACTCATTCAAGATTTGCTGAAGGAATGAAAGATTACAAGATCACTATCAGCAGGCTGAAGCAGGAAGATCATAAGTTCAAGACCAGACTGGACAATTTAGACCTTGTGTCAAAATGATTTTTAAAAAATGCTTTAAAGGGCTGAGGTATAGCTCAGTGACACAGCACTTGCCCTAGAACACACAAGACCTAGGTTCAATCCCCACTACTACAAGCGAGAACTAAATAAATAACACTGTTAGATTCATTTAAGTCAAAGACTACAGTAGGATTTGATGACAGCTCAGACACAAACCTACAGCCTTTTTTCTTTTTTCGTTTTGAAGAATAAGAAAAGCAAATCAGGCAGAAAAGGAGATTTTAGAGTGAAGACATGGATGAAAGAAGTTGTGTAGTGTACATTCTGGTACCAGGGAAGGTCTAGGGCTAATCCCAAGAGCACTCCTCTTATATACAAAATGTCCTCAAACAGAATTATTTAAAATCAAGATTTAATTAAGTCATACCTGCCAATAGCTTGTAGCAAAATGTTCAGGTCTCTTCAAACTTTATATGATAGGTTATGCTGATAGGATTCATGCTACACTTAGGAGATGGCTCTTGCTTCACAGAACTTTAATAGTTTCATTTTCATAACACAAGTGCATGTGGAAGGTCAACGTTTTCTCATTTAACTAACAAATATAAAGGCTACTGAGTGCTTAATGTATTAGGGTTGAGGGACCAAGGTGGCCAACAGTCAGGTGCCTGCTCGAGAACCCTGGCCAGCACTGCCCGTGGAAAACAGCATTTTCAATCGTTGACTGCAGCGAGTGCCGAAGAAGAAAGTGATGTAGTGTAGTATAGTCTTACAGCCACGACCGTGAAAAGCTCAGCCGAGGAACTGATACAGAAGAACTTGCAAAATGAGCAGCTATTAACTAGACAAGAGAAAGATGGGGGATGGACTAGCATTTCAAGCAAAAGAAACAAATAAGCATGAAGGGCAGAAGACGGCAATTCATGAATGGAGAAAATCAGCATCTCCCAGGACAGCCCGGAAAGGCCCTCTCAGACCAGCAAGGCTTCTCCATCAGATTCCAGTTCCACAGGAAGTGGTGACCTCAGGGGGTCAGATTTGGGCTCTAAGTGCCCCATGGTTGCAAATTAGGTACTGAAGGCAGCACGAAGGATAGGATGAAGAGCGGAGTGACCAGCAAAACCACTTAGAAGGCTATGATGAGCATACCATGTTTCCTATCCTAAGGGAGCATCATGTTGGGGCAGAAATGAGCTTCCCATGAGCCCTGAGCCCAGAGGAGCAGCAGGGAGAGAGACAGCACAGACCTGCTCTCTTCCAGCATGTGGATGAGAGGCGCACGCACAGCTAGGACAGAAGCACCAGGTGAGGTGGTAAGGAAAGACATTTTTGTCTGTTTGAGGTTAGAAATGCTTAAGCTGGTTCAAGAAAAAAATATTGATGGGAAAGGTCCACAGAGGGAAGAAAAATTCAAGATGCTGCAAAGAAAAGAGACTGTGCGAGCAGAGGTGGGCTCCTGTGAAGGCGGAACAGGGAGCTGTGCAAACGCCTGGGAAAGGATGGCTCACCCAGAGAAGCAGGTGGGAAGAGACTCACCAGGCCCTGCTCTCACAGGAGCTCTCCCGGGGCAAAGAGGGCTTCGTGAGGCAGTGGGTGCCGGGCCAAGCAGATGAGACCCTCCAGAGGCACAGACAGAGAGAGGCACACACACAGAGAGAGAGGCACACTGCAGCTCCAGCTGGCCACGTGTGCCAGGCAGTCCTCAGGCGCCTCGCTGAGGGCACAGCCCAGGACAGGGCCCAGCGGTGGACTGTGAGACAGGAGGCAGCAGGGCCCAGGGAAATGCCCTTGCTGAGCTGGAGAGGGTGGATGAGAGAGGGCCCAGGGCAGGCTGGCCGCCAGGCCCACAGCTCCACTCAGGCCTTGGCAAAGGCTCAGTACTGGCTCTGCAACAATTACCGGAAACACCAAGGCAGTGTTCCAAGAGCCAAAGCCAACATTCCCTTCCCTTCGGAAGCCATTCCTTTATTCGGGGCCAACATCCTCTCCATTCAAACCTGTATTGCACAGGAAGGGCAAACATTCCGGGACAAATGGGCAGGGGGTAAGCTTCCTTGTCAGGTTTGTAATGAAACAAAAAGAGCAAGGAGGACAAGGACAACTGTGAACAGTTCATCAGAAACTTTGTATTTAAACAGATATGGGCTACCACAGTGACATAAATATCACCATGGGAGGGAACTGAGTGGAGGAGTCAGGTAGGGATCACTCTGTATTGTTACTTGCAAGTCTCCATGAATCTATTTCAAAACACAAAGTACAAAAACACTCCAGGAATTATCAGTCCAAGATTTACTATACATACTGTAATGAACACAAAAAATATTTACCAAAAATGTAAGAAATATAAGTCAGAGTACAATCACAGTACAATAGTTCAGAGGACACGAACATTAAACTGCATCTTCAATAATACAGTGACATCATGTCATCATGTGCAGTGTAAACAGCAAAATGGCTGTTACTGAATTCAGGGCCTTCCGCTTGCCAGGCAGGCCCAGTGCCACTGAATTAAATCCCTGGCCTCTAGCTGGTTTTTTTTTTTTTTTTTTTTTTT